ACTTTCCAACTGCTTTCCCTCCCTGCCCTATCCCCTTTTAATTTTTCTGCCACTCAACGCTGTGTTATCGCTGGAACTGTCTCCCCAGGGGGAATGTCTGCTGAATGAAGTCTGTGCCTTGGGAACAATTCTGTTTTATTTTATTTTTCTCTCTTTGAAATCTTCAAGGAGAAAACTCAAATCTGTGCCAGCTCATGGGCTCCTAGCAGAACTTGGATGGGAATTAGAAATAACGAGATGGGTAATCAAATGCCCTCAGGGCTCCAGATCAGGGCAGCCTTCAGAGGATGCTCTGCCAGGGCCATTTCCTGCTAGAAAATGCTCTGCCACGGCCATTTCCTTCCTCTTGATTCTGAGCCCTGCAAACTGCTAGAGGGTTCCATGCACGGCCTAGCCTGGGAGGCTCCAGCTGGTTGTATGAACTGGGGGAGGTTGCTCTGCTCCTTCCAAATCATCTGCTGTCATCACGATGTGATTTATGAGCTTTTCCTCTAAAATATGAGAATGTTGTCTCCTGATTATGCTCTGTAATGGTGGAAGGCAGTGGCTACAGCTTTTCTAATAAATAATATCTCTTTAGATCACCATCTTATTACAACAAGAATGCAAGAGGTTGAATACAGATGGATTAAAAGTATCTTTTGTTTTGTTTTAATATGGAAAACAAGGGTAATTCATGAAATACAGACCAAGAAGTTCCTATAGGGGCCTCAGTCTAGTTCTATCATCATGTGAAGAGCATTGTGGTAAGCTTCTGAGGGACTTGGGTTTGATTGCTGGCTCTGCTAGCGACTTCCTCTTGAGTGGTGGCCACTTCCTTGTCTATGGGGAAAAAGTAGGGAAACACTGGTAGCACTCACTGCATTGTTATACTTTTATAACTATGTGTTGATATGACAAGGCTTGGTCTGGTGGGAGTGATGGTACCTCACTACAATTCAGTTCAACAGGTAGAGCACCTAAGAGGGGACCTGAGTAGTTTGTTAGAGTTCGGAGACAATGTGTGACCTTGGATGAGTCCCTGATTTTGGTTTACATAAAGCCTTGGTTTCTTCATCTGTAAAAACCATGCTACTGTACATCCATGTTGAATGTGTGTGTGTTGGGGGGAGGGTTGAGTGGTATTATGTGTAGTATGTTGTGTGTTTTGTATGTATGTGTGATATGGTGTGAGTGTGTATGTATGTGTGTGTGTGTCAGCTGAGGCTCCCATGATCACAACATTTAATGCACTTGGGTAAAAGCACCTGCTAATGGGAAACAGTAGGCTGGGTGTGGTGGCTCATGCTTGTAATCCCAGCACTTTGGGAGACAGAGGTGGGCAGATCACCTGAGGTCAACAGTTCAAGACTAGCCTGGCCAACATGGTGAAACCCTGTGTCTACTAAAAATATAAAAATTAGCCAAATGTGGTGGCTTATGCCTGTAATACCAGCTACTTGGGAGGCTGAGGCAGGAGAATCACTTAAACCCAGGAGGCAGAGGTTGCAGTAAGCCGAGATGGTGCCACTGCACTCCAACCTGGGCGACAGAGCAAGACTCCATCTCAAAAAAAAAGGGAAATAGTAGTTTGCTATACAGATATTGATATTCTGATGACCTATTATGTGCTGGGAGAATCTACCCTCAGAGTTTGAGGCGATAAGGCAGAGATGGCATGCATACATGAAGGAATGAAACTAACAATAAAAAACCCAAACAGAACAGCACTAGGCAATCTGAGATTTACTGTACGTGCCATGGGAGTTCAGAAGAGGGTCACCAGGGCTGGCAGCCCAGGGACTTTCTGGGAGGAGCAGTGCTTCATATGGGCCCTGAAGCAGTGGTTTTCAACTTTTTTTTTTTTTTGCTTATCTACCCTCTACATGAACTTTGGGAACAAAAATATCTCTTCTGCATACATTTCAAGTTGACATGTAAAATGTCTCATTCTTTAGTTTGTGCTAAATAAAATAAAATATTTTATTCTAAGTTTGGTAAGTTACCAAGGATATCATTTTGGCCATGTTTTAAATATTGACGTTGTAGTGTAGCATTATACCATACCACTCTCTTAAAACTGTATCAAAATGTTGGGGGGTAGGATGGGCGGGGTGGCTTACCTCTTTAGTCCCAGCTATTTAGAAGGACGAGGCAGAAGGATTGCTTGAGCCTAAGAGTTGAAGACCAGCCTGGGTAACATAGAGATCCCTGTCTCAAAAAATTCTTGAAAATGTATCAAATAGAAACTAACATAGCAATTTTTAATTTTGTCTTTTTATTGAAGCCTCACTTTCATGTAGTAGAATGCACAAATACTAAGTGAGCAGCTCAATTAATTTTTATCAGTGTCCCTACCACCCACATCAAGGTGTGGAACATCTCCAGTATTCAGAAGGCATGCTTATTCCCTCTCTCCATCAGTACCCATAAAAGGTGACCACTTTTCCAGCCTCTATCACCATAAACCTCATTTGTTCTGGCTTCTTTCATAATCACAAGGTCTATGGGTTTCAAGCATGTTACTGTGGGGAGCAGTAGCATTCCTTTTTCATTGTTGCATATTATTTCACTCAATATCTCACATTCAAAAAATCTGTTCTATGACATTTAGGGTCATTTCTAATATTTGGCTATAAAGATGCTATAAGTATTCTTGTATATATTTTTTGGTGAACATAGGCACTGATTTTTTGTGTGTATGTATCGTGAGTGAAATTGCCTGGTCACAGAATAAATACCATAATTCATTGGTTTCTACCATCATCCATCAAAAATTACCTGAACAAGTCCAATGTTTTACACTGTTCTTTCTTTGCCTTCTTGAACTCCTAATTCCCTTTCACCTGCTTTGTAAAATTTAATCCTAACATATTTTATATTTGAAAGTTTTAAGATTATCATCCTTTTTTAACTGTATGTATGTATGTAAACTGAAATGGACATTTAAATTCCTTTGAACTCTAAGGATCTTCCTTTTATATTGATTTGTGTATCATTACAGTGATCACTAATACACAGTTTATCAAAATAACATTATTATACATTTGATAAATCATTAAACAGAAAGCATAACTCTGCATGGGAAATGCTTCTCATAATGAGATGGGCAGGATGGTTGATGGCAGTGCTACCCAAACTTTAAGCTGCATGAGAACCACCTGGGAAATCTTGATAAAATGCAGATTCTGATTTGGATGGTATGGGCTGGAGCCTGAGACTTTACTCTGCAGCTTTTTTTTAGCTTTATTAAGGTATAATTGAAGTGCTCCCAAAATGTATACATTTAATTTATGCATCTTGATGAGTTTGGATGATTCTGTGTTTCTTTTTCCTTCCTTCCTCCCTCCCTCCCTCCCTCCCTCCTTCCCCTCCCCCCTCCTTTTCTCCTTCCCTTTCTTCCCTTCTTTCATCCTTCCCTTCCTTCCTCCCCTTTCCTTTCCTTCACCTGCCCCTGCCCCTGCCCTTGCCCCTACCCCTCCCCCCCTCCCCTTTCTTACCTTCCTTCCTTCCTTCCTTTTCTTTCTTTTTCTTTTTTTCATCTCTTTTTCTTTCTGTCTCCATTCTTTTCTTTTCTCTTATAGGAGTTCCCTGTAAGCATCATGGTATGGTCATGGCTCACTGAAGCTTTGAACTCCTGGGCTCAAGCAACCTCAGCCTCCCAAGTAGCTGGGCCTAGAGGCATGTGCCATCATGCTCAGCTAATTGCTTTTTAAAATTTTTACTAGGCATGAGGTCTTCTTTTATTGTATAGGTGTCTGCATTTTTAACAAGCCCACTGGTGATGCTGATGCTGCTAGTCCATGAACCACATTTTAATTTTTTTGAGACAGAGTCTTGCTCTGTCATATAAGCCAGAGTGCAATGGCACAGTCATGGCTCACTGCAGCCTGGACCTCCCAGGCTTAAGCAATCCTTCCATTTCAGCCTCCTGAGTAGCTGGGAACACAAGCCCATGCCACCACACCTGGATGATTTAAAAACGTTTTTTTTTTTTTTTTAAATAAAGATGAGGTCTCTCTATTTTGCCCAGGCTGGTCTTGAGCTCCTGGCCTCAAGTGGTTCTTCTGCCTCAGCCTATTAGAGTGCTGGGATTACAGGCTGAGCCTCATGGATCACACTTTGAGTAGCAAGGGTTTATGATCCCTTGATTAAAGAAAGATTTGCTAATACCAACTTTTCAAAACATTTTTTATTATTGGAAGAGAATCTAACTTTGTACATTTATTTATTTATAAATGTATGGAGTCCAAGTGTAATGGTTACATGCATAGCTTGTATGATGGTGATGTTTAACTCCAGCTTCCAGCTTTTGAACTGTTGCCCAGGTTGCATAGACCTGTTGAGCAATCAGTATTTTCTGAAGTGTGGTATCTGAGAGGTTCATACATGGATTCAAAGTGATTTAAAGTAGGACACGTGGCCTTAGATAACACTGAAACCCAAGAGGGAAGAGCATGCCCTTCTCGGCCCTTTCTCAGTCCTGACTACACACGGAGAAAGTCACACTGCCATTTTCCTTTGGTTGATAACAAGCCAGCAGCTTGGGCTTGGGGCCTTTGGTAAGCAATCATCTCTAGATAGAATTTTACAATGTTTTTGTTTTCATTGAATTATTTCCCAGGCTGCAAGGAGTCCTAGTTTTTCACTTTATTGTAGTGATAGGAAACTTTGCACTTTAAGCAAGATCATCTCTGTAAGAAAAGCGAGTCAATTCACTAGTTCATATGGAAGAAATAAGAATGCTTGGGGCATGTGGATATGGGAAAAATCATAGTGGTGACATGCAATGATTCAAGTTTTGGAAACATTTGTTTAGACCAATGGCAGAAAAGAGCAAGAGTGAAATCTTTGGGCCAATGCTCTGCCAAGCAAGGTCTGGGCTCAGGCTGAGCTCAGAGATGCTCTGGGTGGTGGTAGGAGGGAGCTGCCTGAATTACAGGGCCTGGGACAGCAGCAGAATGGACCCCAATGCCCCCATCTACCACTGGTCTCATGCTCCCACCCTTGTGTACCTGCAGAGATCCGTACGCAGCTGGTGGAGCAGTTCAAATGTCTGGAGCAGCAATCAGAGTCGCGACTGCAGCTGCTTCAAGACCTCCAGGAGTTTTTCCGCAGGAAAGCTGAGATTGAGCTCGAGTACTCCCGCAGCCTGGAGAAGCTGGCTGAGCGCTTCTCCTCCAAAATCCGCAGCTCCCGGGAGCACCAGTTCAAGTAAGAAGTTGGGTATGGGTGCACTGAAATGGGAGGCAGCACTGGGGTGGGTAGACAGTTAGTGGCAAAGCAGAAAGGAGGCTGGCCTCATTGGAGGTAGAGGGAATGTCTTCAAGGCCCTGGCTCTGCAGGTTACTTATACCTCCAAGCCTCAGTCTTCCTCATAGGTAAAGAGAAGCTAGAAAGAGATCCTCTGCAGAAGTTTCCTGAAGGGAAAAAATGAGCAACCCAAGAAGAGTGCTTGTCACAGACAATAGGTACTCGATCAATTGTTGCTGTCATTATTATCCTACCAAGCACCAGCACTGAGCTAGCCTCCTGCGCCCTGATGAGACCCCTACCTCCCTTCAGGACATCCTGTCCCTATCCATTTGTCTTTCATTTGGGTGTCAGCCAGCCTTCTTCTGAATTCCTTTAGCATAGTGAATTTCTTCTCCATGGAACTGATGCTCAAACATTCCTCTTCCTTGCTCCCCTGGAGGACCTCCATACCCAGGCTCTTTCCCTGCCTTATTTACTTATTTACGATGCACAAACTGTCCCCTGTCCTGATTTCTCATACCCCAAGCTCTGAGTTCATGGAGACACCATCTGCTAGGGCACTGACTTGGCAGGCCCTGAATCCTCCAGCTACAAAACCTTCTGTGCTTAGAACTCCTCAGCTTCAGCTCATTAAATGCAGGCAGGCAGGAAGCAGCAAATCTCACTTGGACTGTGCCAACCATGCAGGACTCCACTCGGCAGGTCCCCCTCCAGCACTGTCTCTCTTTCAGCCATACTCCCTGGACTCTACCCTTTCCTTAGGTCATTTCTCCAGCCAGTGGCCCTCAACACCAGGAGACAAGTGACTTGCTTCATCTGCCCTGTTTCTCTCTCTCTCCGTCCCCTACTGTCTCTCTCTCCCCCACCCTGTGTGTATGTATGTGTGTGTGTACACGTGTGTGTATTTTTTTTGAGACAGAGTCTTGCTCTGTCATCCAGGCTGGAGTGCAGTGGCGTGATCTCAGCTCATGCAACCTCCGCCTCCTGAATTGAAGTGATTCTCCTGCCTCAGCTTCCTGAGTAGCTGAGATTACAGGCATGTACCATTACACCCAACTAATTTTTGCATTTTTTGTAGAGACAGGGTTTCACCATGTTGGCCAGGCTGGTATTGAACTCCTGACTTCAAATGACCCACCTGCCTCAGCCTCCCAAAGTGTTGGGATTACAGACGTGAGCCACCACACCTGGCCTCTCTGTGTATATATATTTTAACTGTGACAAAGCACACATCATATAAAATTGACCATTTCTATCATTTTTAAATGAACTAAGCACGTTCACATTGTTGTGCAGCCGTCACCACCATCTCCAGTGCTTTTTTCATCTTCCTCAACTGAAATTCTATCCCCACTAAACATGAACTCCCCATTCCCTGCCATGCCTTCGAGCTGCTGGCAACCACCATTCTACTTTATGTCTTTATGAATTTGACTGCTGTAGAAAGCTCACATAAGTACAGTTATACTCTATTTATCTCTTTGCGATTGGCTAACTTCACTCAGCACAATGTCTTTGAGGTCCATCCCTGCGGTAGCATGTGTCAGAATGTTTTTCCTTTTTAAAGCTGAATAATATTCCATAGCGCAGATGGACTACATTTTGTTTGTCTGTTCATCTGCTGGAGGACACTTGGGTTGCTTCCATCTTCCTGTCCACGGTTTTCCCATCCCACTCTGGCCAGGAGCTCTCTTCCTTTAAACTCCCCTAAACCCCTCCCTTAGTCCGTGCATCTAAACACTCACTTATGTGCCTTCTCTTGGCATGTGGGGATAAGAAGTTGCTGCATTACACATTTGCAAATACCATGCTGCTTTTTCCACCCAATCTCTTCTATTCAATCTTTTGCTGCAGCAGGAAGCCTCTACTAATAATATTCACCCAGACATAGTCTAGACCCTTTCACATACATCTTCTCATTTTTTGGACATATATTTTGGAGAAAATTTGTACTTTTTCAAACAACAAAGGTAAAATGCTCATTGTATACAATTTATAAAGTACAGAAAAGGGAAAAATATCTTTTATAGTCCCACTACTCAAATTTTGGAAACTTCTCTCTCCTGTCCTTTTTTTTTTGAGATGGAGTTTTACTCTTGTTGACCAAGCTGGAGTACAATGGTGCGATCTCAGCTAACTGCAACCTCTGCCTCCAGGGTTCAAGTGATTCTCCTGCCTCAGCCTCCCCAGTTAGCTGGGATTACAAGCATGTGCCACCACATCCAGTAATTTTGTATTTTTAGTAGAGATGTGGTTTTTCCACGTTGGTCAAGCTGGTCTTGAACTCCCAACCTCAGGTGATCTGCTCACCTTGGCCTCCCAAAGTGCTAGGATTACAGGCAGGAGCCACCATGCCCGGCCTTGTCCCTTGTCTTTTAAGAATAAAAACAAAGATAATGTATTGAACACATTCACTGAGCACTTACTTTGATGCCAGATGGATATTACTACCCCATCATAAAGATGAGGATGGTAAAACTCTGAGAAAGCAGCTTGTCCAAACATGTCTATGAACCCACAGTTGGAAAGAGACAGAATTGAACATTCTACTCTTGTTGTGTCTCCTTGGCCTGGGATAAGAAAGGGTCTAGTGCAGTGCCAGAGTATCTATGGCACCCGGACTCTCCCTGAAACCACAGGCACAGACATTGACTCAGAAACCCATGACTCTGGCTGAGCGGCCACTGGAGCCACCACATCTCGGCCTCTCCTCAGAGGCAGACAGGGCTGTCTCCTGCCCGCTCCTTCCTCTTGGTTAGGAATCAGCTCTCTTCCCATTCTTAGTGTGCACATGGGGAGATGGAAAAGGCAGGGATTGGGGACATGGCGGGGGGGCACCCTGTTCCTTGCATCACCTATAATGAGCTCGGCCAGCCCCTCATGGATTCATTAACTGAGGCCACCAGACGGAACAGGAGCCCCAGCTGGCAGCCGGGCCATGCAGGCTGCCTGACACACTATGAAAGTCTAATTAGAGTGCTGGCCCAGGCCAGTGCAGCTGGAGGGGGCCCTCTGCACGATGCTAATGTGATGGTAGAGCCATCTCAGCTTCTGCAAGTGTAGAGTCTCTAGGGACAGGCTGGACTCACCCTTTGACCCTGGGGCACTGACTGGCCTTGGGTTGCCTCTTCCTTGGAGCTCAGCATGTAGGGCCTGTGCTGCCCTCTGCTCCCTTCATTTGGGCTGTTCTGAGAAGCCTTGTCTCACCATCATAAAGATTCTTGGTTTAATAATGTCCATCTACCTGCCAAGTAGCCCCTCAATGCCTTGAGGGCAAAGCCCAGGACTTGTCATTTTATTCCCACTGCAGCAGTGGATCCGGTGCTTGGCAGAGCTGGGGTGTGTGTACATGGACAGAAGGGAGGAAAGAGGGAAGAAGACAGGAGGGAAGGAAGGGAGAGGATTGATTTGGTCTATCTAGTCCACTTTAGCTGAGAGATTTGCCTCGGAGATGGAACTGATTTGCCCAAGATTTTATGGCAAATTAGGGGCAGAACTGGGATGGGAACTCAGGTCCTTGGCTCCGAGTCTATTGCTCCTCCTTGTGCTCCATGGGCCGTGTCTCCCTAAGGCCCCAGCTGTTCCCTCCCTACCTGGGCAATGGAAGAATGTGCTGCTGCCCGGGAGCACACACTGTGCTGTGTTCAGGGCTAGACTCACCTGGGCTGAGTTCCACGTGGCATGTGATCCAAAGAAAGGCTCGCATGATGGCTCTGAAGGCTTCCCTGGGGCAGGTTAACATTTAGAGAACAATATCATCATATTTCTTTTCTAACAACACACATTCCAATTCTAACAAACCCTTTTTCAAAGGACTCTGACATCCTTGCTTTCTTATAAGGTTGATGACAACCCAGGGAAGTACAGAGGGAATCAATGGTTTTATATCAGGCAAACTGAGCAACAGATATAACTGAGCAGCTTATTTTAACAAGGATGCAATGAGCTGTTGAGCATGAAAACCCAGGGTTCTTAACTTCCAGCTCAGGATTCTCTCTCCAAGAAGCCACGTGGGACTTCATTTGTTTGAAATGCATGCATTGAGGACCTCATATTTTCCTGGGCTGTACTCAGTGCCAAAGACACAAAGATAAATGAAGCATGGTTTCTGCTGCCAGATATTGAGAGACAAGAACATGGCTTGGGGAGGCCTCGTAGTTGGTATGGCTGTGGGGGGCCCAATCCCATAGCTGTGCCCTTTGAGCCCTGCACCTACGTGCCATCAGCCCATAGCATTGAGATGTCACTTCCACTGAAAAGCTTCCTTGATTCCCACCTGGGGCCTCCCTCTGTGCCTGTCACACTCTGATGTACTTATTTATTTGCTTATTCTACCAGTATTTATTGAGTACCTACCATGTGCCAGACCCTGCCTGGGTATACAGTGGTGAACAAGATAGACTTGGTTCCTGCTATGGTGAAATTTACAGGGAGAGATGAAGAATAAAACATTAAAAAGCAGCTAAAACAAAGACCAGCTGTAATCCAATGATTGCTATGATGGAAATTATAAATAGACTATGTTCTGGTTATCTATCCTGTATAACTGCAGTGCTGCCAAAGTTAGTGTACCTTGTGGTTTAATGGATTGAGGATTTGGACAGGGCTCAGCTGGGTGATTTTTCTGCTGTGTGTGGTGTTCATGGTTCTGTGATATTCAGCTGGCAAAGGGCCTGGTCTGGAGGGTCCCAGACAGTTTTACTTGCATGCCTTGTTCCTCTGTGGGGACAGTTAGTAGGCTGGGCCCTGCTGGGCTGCCCTCCTCTCCATGTTGTGTCAGGGCCTCCTGCTTCAACTGGGCATCAGACTTCCAACACAGTAGCTTGTGGCTTCCTGTTAACTACTAGGCCTGGAGCTGGCATGGTGTCACCTCCCCCTGACCCAGATGTTATTTGCCAAAGTTGTCTCAGCGCTAGCTCAGCTTCAGGAAAGGAGAAATAAAGCCCTCCTCTTATTGGAGGAGTGTCAAAGGGTTGGTAGCCCACACCAAGCTGGACCATGATCACGAAGGCGTCTGGAGGAAGTGAGACTTAAGAGTTGAGAAGAAACAGCATGGGGCAGTGGAAGGGGATGGAGGCCAAGTGACCAGAATTAGTGAGTATGGGGATTGGGAAGCAGGGAGTCACATGATGTGATTTATATGTTTAAAACACCACCTGGGTTGGAGGGTGGAGCTGAGGAGCCCACTCATGGGCATGTGGATATAGCTTTCCAGGCAGGGGCAGTGATGTCCTGGGTGGGAACACAGCAGATGAGAGAAGTCATCAGATGCCAGGAAACCTCTCAGAGGAGAACAGAAGAAAAGAGAGAGAACAAGGATGTCTCTTGTTTCTGCCTTGAGATGGGAAGGACTTAGGGAAGAGGATGAGGTAAGAGCTATAGCCCTGTGTTGTCATAATCTGTTTACTTGTCTGTCCTCTTGGACAACCACTGGGTTGCAAGCTCCGAGATGGCAGAGAGGGTGACTGTTGACCCAGAGTCCCTAGCACCTCTCACAGGGCTGGCACATGGTTGCTCTGAATGTCATTGACTGATGAATGAGTGAATGAAAGTCAAGTGGTAATTAGAGTTGTGCAGGGAGGACAGGGAAAGGGGGCATGCTTGCTTTCTGGCTGCCTTAGGAGCTTGGTGAGGCCATCTGGGTTAAGTGCCACTCACTCATGTGCCTGGTACAGGTACTATATTGCTGAAAGGATAGAGTATAGAGTGTGGACTGTGCCATAGTCTCCCCGTTTGGGGAATGGGACCAGCAGCATCGGCATCACATGGGGACCTGCTAGAATTGCAAGATCTGGGGCCTTGCCGGAGACCTGCTAGATCAGAACTTCTGGGGGTGGAGCCTGGCAATATGTATTTAACAAGCCCCCTGGGGGAGTCTGATGGGCATTCACTTTGAAGAGCCAGTGTGATGATTTTCTGAGTGATCAATGGTTTTCAACTCACTTTCAGGGTACACTGGCCTTCCCTCTTCTTCACCAGCATCAAATCCACCATCTACTGCCCTTTGCAAGCTAGGCCTAACCTGAGCTTGGCCTTTCCTTCTGAAGGCCTGGAGCTGAGCCCTTCCTGAGCAGGACTGTGGTATAGTGGGCAGCACATATGGGGCCCCCAAACCTGCCTCTCGGGGTAGGTGGATGGTCTTGTCCAAATGAATTGATGGCTCCACAAACACAGACGTTTCCTGGGAATAAGACTTTCTCTTCCTCCAGGAAAATGTGCTCTAAAACACCAATACTTTGAGATGTTGGAATGGGAGAGAGGAAGGGGAAAAGGAGGAGGAGAATGAGGATAAGGAAGACTGACTTTTGCAATAAGTAAGCCTGTTGACTTCTTTTTTTTTTGTTCACAAGTTTATTATGAAAAACACTGCAGTGCTCTTGTGCAGTCACATTGTCTTACAGGAAGAGGAAAAAACAGTTCTGTTCAAAACAACTCACCAGGTTCTGACAATAACAAAGAACAACATAGGGCTAAGATCTGAGTAAGGAATAAACTGAGTGCAGACAAATCATGTAATTAAATTAAATGGTATCCCTGAAATGAAAAAGAACCATTTCAAAACTCACAAGTAGAGGGGAGACCTTGGTACTTATTTTTTTTTTAAATTTTTTATTGCATTTTAGGTTTTGGGGTACATGTGCAGAACATGCAAGACAGTTGCATAGGTACACACATGGCAGTGTGTTTTGCTTCCTTTCTCCCCTTCATCCACATTTGGCATTTCTCCCCAGGCTATCCCTCCCCACCTCCCTCTCCCACTGGCCCTCCCCTTTTCCCCCCAATAGACCCCAGTGTTTAGTACTCCCCTCCCTGTGTCCATGTGTTCTCATTTTTCATCACCCGCCTATGAGTGAGAATATGCGGTGTTTCATTTTCTGTTCTTGTGTCAGTTTGCTGAGAATGATGTTCTCCAGATTCATCCATGTCCCTACAAACGACACAAACTCATTATTTCTGATTGCTGCATAATATTCCATGGTGTATGTGTGCCACATTTTCCCAATGCAGTCTGTCATCAATGGGCATTTGGGTTGATTCCAGGTCTTTGCTATTGTAAACAGTGCTGCAATGAACATTCGTGTACATGTGTCCTTATAGTAGAACGATTTATAGTCCTTTGGATATATACCCAGTAATGGGATTGCTGGGTCAAATGGAATTTCTATTTCTAAGGCCTTGAGGAATCGCCACACCGTCTTCCACAATGGTTGAACTAATTTACACTCACACCAACAGTGTAAAAGTGTTCCTTTTTCTCCACATCCTCTCCAGCATCTGTTGTCTCCAGATTTTTTAATGATCGCCATTCTAACTGGCGTGAGATGGTATCTCAATGTGGTTTTGATTTGCATCTCTCTGATGACCAGTGACGATGAGCATTTTTTCATATGATTGTTGGCCTCATATATGTCTTCTTTCGTAAAGTGTCTGTTCATATCCTTTGCCCAATTTTGAATGGGCTTGTTTGTTTTTTTCCTGTAAATCTGTTTGAGATCTTTGTAAATTCTGGATATCAGCCCTTTGTCAGATGGGTAAACTGCAAAAATTTTTTCCCATTCTGTTGGTTGCCGATTCACTCTAGTGACTGTTTCTTTTGCCGTGCAGAAGCTGTGGAGTTTGATTAGGTCCCATTTGTCTATTTTGGCTTTTGTTGCCAATGCTTTTGGTGTTTTGTTCATGAAGTCCTTGCCTACTCCTATGTCTGGATGGTTTTGCCTAGATTTCCTTCTAGGGTTTTTATGGTGCCGGGTCTTATGTTTAAGTCTTTAATCCATCTGGAGTTAATTTTAGTGTAAGGTGTCAGGAAGGGGTCCAGTTTCTGCTTTCTGCACATGGCTAGCCAGTTTTCCCAACACCATTTGTTAAACAGGGAATCCTTTCCCCATTGCTTGTTTTTGTCAGGTTTATCAAAGATTTTATGGTTGTAGATATGTTGTGTTGCCTCCGATGCCTCTGTTTTGTTCCATTGGTCTATATCTCTGGAAAAAACCACCATGAACTTCATATGGAACCAAAAGAGAGCCCGCATAGCCAAGTCAATTCTAAGCAAAAAGAACACAGCAGGGGGCATCACACTACCGGATTTCAAACTATACTACAAGGCTACAGTAATCAAAACAGCATGGTACTGGTACCAAAACAGAGATATAGACCAATGGTACTTATTTTTAAAAATGTTCATTAAGCTCCAACGATTGTTTGCTGCTATCCTTATCTATAGTCATGCTGAGTAAAGCTATAGCTAAATGGAAGTTAAATTGTATTCACGAGGTGTTAATGTTTACATTTTAGTATCTGCAGTCTCTCAGAGAAAGCAAAAGTAACTACAAATAGCACTATCCCAGAAACTGGTTTCTTGACCAACAATGTTGCTTCAGCATGCAATGAACTGGTTCATTCTAAAGTGGTCACGGCTGTTGATGACAAGAGGCTTTGTATATTTATATGGCACATCTTTTGGTCCGTGTGAAAACAAGTTTTTTGAATGTTAACTATTTTCTGACACTTTGGAGTTACTGTTGCTTTTCCCATTTCCATTAGGTCAATATATGGTTCATGGCAACACTGTACAAGTTTAAAATTTCATTACAGGAAGTAGTCTGGGGTACCACGAGTAACATGTGGCTCGCCTCTACGAGGTGCTGGGTCAAACTGCAAGAAAGAGTATTTTAGAGTATCGTCAAGTTCCATGATTGCAGCTTGGTTACCTCAACAATAACAATAGTTTGGAGCACTGAAAATCGTTACTACATTCTGGTCATGGCACCAGTTATATCCCTCCATCACTAGCTGGTGAGCTCTAGACACCAACGTGAGGCCATTGGCATGATTAAATGTCTCAGAAATATCTTGTCCAAAGGTGTAACCAGCTCCCTGAGGAGATATACCCCAACCACCATGGTCATCTGGATCTGACCACAGCAAGTCACACATTGGACCCTCATGGGGAACTTCTTGTAGGCGAGCAAGTGCTCTGATATGATCCAGTGTATCTACAGATGGCGAGAGACCACCATGTAGACAGAAGATTTGCCCATCCACCAAGGCAGTGAGAGGAAGATAGTCAAAAAGATCTGTAAAATATTTCCAAACATTTGCATTTCCGTATTTTCTGAAACACTCATCATAGAAACCATAAACTTGTGTGATGTGTCTGCTGTCATGATTCCCTCGAAGAATGGTGATGCGTTCACGGTAACGAACCTTAAGAGCTACAGGCAGTGTAACTGTTTCAACTGAATAATATCCTCTGTCAACATAATCTCCCATAAACAATAATTTGTATCTGGTGATTTGCCACCAATTCTAAACAGTTCCATGAGATCATGAAATTGCCCATGCACATCTCCACAGTGACTGGAATTGAACCTATTGCACGTTGGATTCTTTCGTCTGGATTTCTTTAGCCTTCTCACAGAGGCTCTTGACCTGGGACTCCGACAGTTGCTTGCACTCGTTCAGCTGCTCGATACACTGGTCCAGCTCCTTGGTGAACACCTTCTCGTCCATGATGCCACCTGCCCCAGGAGGCTGTCGCTGGCGCTGCTCAGGCACCGCCGCCCGCACACGGGCCACACGCACATGCCGCCGCCGGTTCCTTGTGTACTTCTGGAGGAGGCTGAGGCTGGCGCTGGCCCGCTGGCTCTCACCGCGATATTCGGCCGTTGGCTGTTGCGCCTCCTCCTCTTCTCGTTCTGGCACCAGAGCTCGGCTCTCTGTAATGGCGGCCGCCTGGCGTGGTGACGTCACGCCGGCGTTAGGAGGTGGCGGGGAGCGGACAGGAAAAGGGACCGGGAGCGAGCTGCGCAACTGCGGTGCCCAGCCCTGGCGGCCGCACTACCGGAGTTGGGGTGCTAACTGTGGGTCCAAGCCTGTTGACTTCTTTCTGAAAGCTATTTTACCACAGGATTCCCTCTCCCCATAGTATTTATTTATTTATTTACATATTTAATTATTTTTGAGACAGAATCTCACCCTGTCACCCAAGCTGAAGTGTAGTGGTGCGATTACAGCTCACTGCAGCTTCAAACTTCTGGGCTCAAATGACCCTCCTGCCTCAACCTCCCAAGTAACTGGGACTACAGGTACATGCCACCACATCTGAAAAATTTTTAAAATTATTATTATTATTATTATTATTAGAGACAGGGGTCTTTCTATGTTGTCCGGGCCAGACTTAAACTTCTGGGCTCAAGCAATCCTCCTGCCTTAGCCGCCCCAAACACTGCAATTATAGGCAGAGTTTTGCCTATAATTGGGCACCGCACCTGGCCCTCCCTGTAATATTTGTTAATATTTCACAAACCAGCACTTCTTGAGACCTAATTTGAAAATCTCTGTCCTAAACAAACACTGGGGTTACTCTCTGTAGTAGCAACACTCTATGCAAATAGTGCTCTGTGTCTGCAGTGACAGAGTCCCCTTCTGTTCTGGCTTTCTCAGTTTTTGATACCCCTCACCTTCCAGGGGCTGTACCTGATGAATATGCTCCATGCAGAGAGTTAAGTTCTGGTTGCTGCTATTTGAACTGCTGTGACAAAAAGCAACAGGGCATTCTATTTAAATATGACTTAAACATTTGGGAAAAGCCAGAATTTGGAAAGTGCTGAGAGGTGCTTGGCTAGTTAGGGAATATATTATATGCAGATATCCTGTGCAAAGGAAGTTTGGAGCCTCTTTCAGCTTCACAGACCAGTTGGGAGAGAGGATTCCTGTGAACAACTAACTTCATTTCCAAGAAAACACTTCTTAGTGGGGATAGAGCATCACAGGACTTTTTTTTTCCCGCAGATGTAGCATGTCTCTAAGAGATGCTATAATTTAGACTTAGTCTTCCAGTCTATTCCTAAACAGAGAAGCACTTTTGTAGCATATAAATTGAGCATATACGTATAAAAAGGATTCAGAATTAAAACATTTGCTTAGAATGAGGTAGAGATGGAGAAAGCCCTCCAGTGGGGGCTTGTGTCTCTATTTGCAGCTATTACTATTACTGCAGCTGGTATCAAGCTAGTAATGGCTTTCCAGCATCATACTTTCTAGAACTGCTATTCTCTCAGCACCATGTGCCAGCCGGATCTTTCCTGATTTTTTGGTGCCTGTGTTGTGCAGGTCGTTTAATCTTTCAGGCACTCCTCACATCCACATCACCGTGGACCAAGTGCTCTACTGGATGTCTGATAGGCATCATCTAATTTCACCTTCACGGGGAATGTGGTCTGCGAGGAAGGGGCTATCTTTATCTCTCTTGTTGAAGACACTGTTTTAGAGAAATTAAGTAATTTGCCCAGAGGGACATGGCTAGCACAGGTAAGAGGCAGAGCTAGGATTCCAATCTTGGTTTACCTGACTCAAAAATGCAAAACTGCAGCTAGCTGTTGATTTTATTCCCTCACCTTTCTGGGGTGGCTTAGTGCTTCCTGAGAATCACCCATCCATGTCAACCTCATCCTCCTTGGATGAGCATCAGGGGGTTGCTACTATCCCCTTGGTCAGCTCCTACATAGAGGCCAGCTTCGGGCTTGTCTCTTCGGTGAAGCCCCTGCTGCTGATCCCAAGCCTACAGTCAGCTGCTCCTCTCACCTCCTGTGTGAGTCGTGTGTCTCTCTCATGGGGCTTGCATCAGATTATCAAGCAGTGATCTAGTTCCTATATCTGGTTCTCTCACTTCAGTCTGCCAGCTGACTGAAGGTAAGGGACCATTTCTAGTCTCCCTCTCTCTGATATATAATTGATGCTTTATCAAAGTTTTTTTCAGTGAGTGGCTGAATTAACCAAGACACTACCAAATGCTTTCTTTAAATATATTTAACAAATAGACTTATTTTGTGTGGCTGCAGAAGGAGGAAGTGATGTCCAAGGGTAGCATTTTCAGAGAAACAAACTTCAACTTAACCTTAAAGACGTTCCAGTAGCCACAGCTGTCCACCAATGAAAGGGCTGCCTGGGGAGGTAGTGAGTTCCCAATGCACAGAGGTATATACACAAAGGCCGGGTATTTTAAGGGTGGCATTTCTGTAATATGGATGATCAAAATGAAAGGAGATTCTTGATAACACAGGAACCATAAATATTGAATTACCTTTTCAATTCTCTTTTAAGGTTTCTGGTAGCCTGGAGGAGAAAGTCTCAGTTTGGTACTAGTGTGTTGTTAATACCCTCTAATCTCCTTTTTAACAAATAGAGAACAGACCTCAAGATTGAAAAACTGTTTTGTTTTCACTGAATTTATTTTTTTATTAACTTCTATTTATGGCAAATGATGCTTTTTTTTTTTTTAAAGCTAAAAGTAGTGAAGTTCTTTGTAAATACATTTAAGTTAAAAAAAAAAAAAGACATCAACAGGGAGATATTAAGTGTGGTGGTATGCAGGAATGGCAAAAATCCTAAAGCCAGCATCAAATCACTCTAAGTCCCCTTCCAGTTCCTCCTGCAAAGTGAGAATCCTTCATCTCTACCTTCTTCATCCTCCACTTCCTTTTTTTTTAATCAGGGGAAGGGATTTTAAGACAGGAGGCTCAGCCTGAAGAGTGGATTTTGCAATGGCTATAGATAGCTCCTTTTTCTCCTTCCAATTTTTTCCATCTGGCTCTTTCCCAGGTTCCACACGAAAGTCCCTGGAATCCTCAGAGACTCTAATCAGCAACTTCCAAAGCATTAACTAGGACGTGATTTCTTTATGCATGCATATGCTTGATATACATGTATTTTTTCTATCATTTAATTTTTATACTAAAAATGAAAAATAGATGTAAGAAATGAGGTTTTCACAAACAGTAATATGTAGGGGTTTAGTTTTGACTCTATTCCTTTAGGTAAATAGGATAATAATAATCTTTGAAGGTTATATAGGACCTTACACTTTGAAAATTCCTTCCCTAGCCTTTAGCTGTTTAAATCCTCCCAAGAATCCTGGTGAGAGTTGGGAGAGTCAAGGAAGGTGTTGTCATCCCCAACCGTTAGGTAAAGGACCTGAAAGCAAGGCAGGGTGAGCCCTAACTTCAGACCCACAGCTGACTGGTGAAAGAACTGACCCGGTTTTGCATTTTGGAGTCAGGTAAACCCAGATTGGATTCCTAGCTCTGCCACTTACGTGTGCTAGCCGTGTCCTTCTGGGAAAATTACTTAATTTCTTGAAACCTCAGTATCTTCACCTAGAAAGATAAAGATAGCCCGTTCCTAGTAGACAACATTTCCCATGAAGGGTCAATGAGGTGATGCCTATCAGATATCCAGTAGAGCACTTGGTTCACAGTGGTGGGTGTGAGGGGTGCCTGAAAGATTAAACGACCTGCACAGCACAGGCACCAAACAATTGGGAAGCCATGGCTCAGGGCCTTTTCCTCTGCCTAGTGCTGCACATACCACGTGGTGCACCCATTCTGCAGGCAGGTAAACCAAGACAAAGGGGCTTGCAAGGAAAGAGATGAGGCTGACCTGTGCTCTGTATTTGGGGTGACAGAGTCCCTTCTATTCTGGCTTTCTCAGCTTTGATACCCCTCACTTTCCAGGGGCTGTGCTTGATAAAAATGCTCCATGCAGAGGGTTAAGTTTTGGTTGCTGCTATTTGAACTGCTGTGGAAAAAAGCAACAGGAAATTGCCTAGTGAGGCAGGGATTTTTGCTCTGATACCAAGAATCCATCCAGAAAGTCTAAGTAGAGCTCAGAGGTACTGCTGGATAACAGACATCAACGTGGACCCTCATGCTGCAGTGTGAGGAATGGGATCCCCAAGGAAGCAGTGAGCCCGTGAATCATTCTGCCTTGGGTTGGAGGGGAAATCACAGGGATATTTGCACTGGGTCTTGAAGTTCACATAAGAGTTTGAAGAAGGACCAGGTAGTAATGGAGAAGGAAAACCAATATTTTTAGAACACTTACCATAGGCTGTTTGTCTATGTACAGCAGTCCTTAGATCTTCCCAATAACTTAGTGAGGTGCTAGTGGTAATAATGGTATTGACAATAAAAGTTACTATTATGTGCAGGGTTTGGCACTCAGAGAATTGTATGGGTTGTGTCATTTAGTCCTCAAAGCACCACTATGAGGTGGTTGTCACCTCATTTCACAAATAAGGAAAGAGAAGGTTTAACTATAGTAACTTTCCAAGTTCAGTTTGTTGGTGAGGGACAGAAGTGGCATTTGAACCCAAGCCTCATGACTTGATAGCCCCTCAACACTGATAAGCAGAGCCCGCTTTGGCCGGGGGACTCAATGAATGGAATTAGTCCCCTTTGGGATGACTCTGTCTCAGGGTTGCCAAATAGTGCTGGAGCCAGGCCCTGGACTGCACTCTAGCTCCGAGCACGGCAGCCTCGCACTCCTCAGGGGACTCCTGGTGGGGGGTGGGGGGGAGATAATAAAGTAAATATTTATAAAGTAATTTATAAAGAAAAGTGGTTTAATGGACTCACAGTTTGGCATGGCTGGGGAAGCCTCAGGAAACTTAAAATCTTGGTGGAAGGCACCTCTTCACAGGACAGCAGAAGAGAGAAAGAGTGCCCAGTGAAGGGGTAAGCCCCGTATAAAACCATCAGATCTTGTGAGAACTCACTCACTATCACGAGAACAGCATGGGGGAAACCACCTCCATGATTCAATTATCTGCACCTGGTCCCACCCATCACATGTAGGGATTATATTACAGTTCAAGATGAGATTTGGGTGGGGACACAACCAAACCATATCAGGGTGGAATTGTGTCCCCTCAGAATTCCTATGCTG